GTTTTCCTGTTTCATTGTTTGCTTCCCAATGTACAGTTTAAAAAAAAACAAAAAGTGTTTCTGTTCCTTTGTGCCTTCCTTGCAGTCTGGGAGTCTTTCACTGCTTGTCTGGCACTATCTTGGAATATCAGCTCTAGACACAGGTCAGCAGTTTGGCCACTGAGACATGGATCTGAGTTTCACAATTATCTTGTCTGGGTCAACGTGGCTCCTTTCCAGGAGTGCCTTCCAGTTTTACAGGATTTGAATTTGGAACCCTTTTCATCTCATTTTCAGCAGTAAGAAGCTCTACCAAACAGCTCTGCTCACCTCCCTTGTGATTGCTGTGGGTTGTTTATGCACCCAAAATGAAAGACAGTGATGGTGTAGAAATTGGGGCATTGTTTTTTCACCTTGTGTAAAGAGTTGCTGCTCAGAAGCGTCCTGTGGGACTTTGAGAACATTTGCATTGTGCTTTGAACAAGAAATCAAGAGTAAATTGTGTGTTTATTTTACCTAATAGATATTAATTATGATCCCATTCATAAGCATATTTTCTCTCCTGGTTAGCAATATGCTGAGCCTTAACCTTGGCAAAATAAGAGAGTTCTGATGCTTCATTGAAAGTCAGCGTATTTAGAAGGAAGCCTGTGTGTTCTGAGGTCTCTTGCTCCTCTCCCTTAAGGATATTTACTTTTCCTAAGTTCTTACTCATAGTTGCCTCATTTGACAGAAAAATTGGTTTCTGGTGGTTTAATTCTGCTGCTAGAAAGAAGAGGCTCCTCTTTCCGGTGGGCAGCAGAAACAAATTCATCTCCAGGAGAAATAAGTGTTTCTTTCCTTGGATGCAGACAAGGTAAAGGAGTGAATGTGCAGGGAATGAACAAACTTCTGTAGAGTTGTTCCATGGTGGGAAGGACATCTTTATTCATTGGATTCTCTTTATAGTTTGGAGGTTTGGAAGCTCCCCTTGTAGGTGGTAATCTGAGAGTTTGAGTTGAGGGAGTCTTGTGAGCCCATTCTTGTGAGCCCACGAGGTCTGGGAGCAGGATCACACAGATTTTAGCAGCAGTGGTGATGCAATAGCTACCCCAGGAAGAGCTCCACACTTGCTGCCTGTGGACGAGGAGCTGCCTGGAGTGACTCTGCCTTCTCATTTCCAGCTGCAGCACTGAGCTAAGGATCAGACAGATCCCCTCACTGAGCCATGCCTGAGCTCTGCACACTGGGAGTCTGTGTGGGGATGGAGTCCCAGGAAAGGGGACACTGTCCTGGGAAAGTGTGAGAAGCTGGGAAAGGTGGGAAGGGCCAGAGCCAGAGCCTGGCTTCAGCTGGAGCAGGCAGTGACACAGGAGCCTGTGGCTGTGACACTGAGCAGAGAGCTCTGAGCAGCTCTGGTTCAGCTCATCTCCCAGCAGACTTTCAGCAAGACATTTAATCCCTTTCTGTTCCTCATCTTTCCACCTAGAACGGAGTGATAAAACTTCCTTTATCCCCATGCTCCCAGGAGTCTGTTTAGATGGTGAGATCTTTGAGGGAGAGAGAACACCTGGCACAGTGAGGCCCTTTGTCAAACGGATGCCATTATAATCCCTGTAATCGGAAGCACCACTCACCTGCCCAGCACATCTCTCCCAGCTTGGGAGTTTCCAGATCCTGATCTCTCCCAGGACTGCTTCCTAACAGCTGTGCAGACAAGTTTTCCTATCTCCCAGGAGTTTCTGAGAGTTCAAAATTTGCACCTTTATAACCATTTATTTCTGAATTTTATTTTTTTTGCTGTATAAATTCCTTAAGGGTTCAATTGAAAAAGCATTTTTTAATCTTTTTTTAAATAATTTTAAATTTTTATTGAAACACTACTTCTCAACAGCCATCTCGCTTTTTAAAATTTTATTTTTGTCTTGGAAATATTTCAAACTGGGAGCTGATCCAAAGATGACCTTTCCCCACAGACAGTTTCAACAAATCAATATTTTTCCAGTGCGAAATATCTGTCATTGGAAAATCCTCACTGGCACTTCCTGAACACTGTAGGGAATGCTTTGCAGGCAGGGACCTGCCATCTGAAAGCTGGTTGCTGAATGCAGAATTAGCACTGATACAGTTCTTTTGATGGCTTCTTCTGTATCAGCGTAAGCTCTGAGCTGCCACTCACATACAACAACTTCCTTTCAAGTCCTGCCATTTCTCACTTGGATATTTCCCCACAAAGCTGACTGTTTAACCATTAAAAAGTCACTGACTGTTTTGCTGTTTAATGGGCAATTTTGTTTGGGTTCCTATTGTAGCTGAGGAGGATACATGATCTCTTTTGAAAAGGGCTATTAACATGATAAAACATCTTGGGAACATACAGTCCCAAAGCTGATGGTTTCATCTTTGCTGGGGTATCTGAACACTATTAAATGCAGGGGACTGGGTAACGAGGGCCTGGGCTTTGCAGTGGTGTGGCACCATAACACAGCTCAGCACCATTACCAGATTTTTCTGTAACTGTTTCCTGAAATATGCTTTGCATTTAGGATTCTGAATCAAACACAGGGATGCTATAAAAATCCAATGTTTTCCATACCTCAGAGATGGGAGATTTCAGAAAGGTTGGTGTTGCTGAGAGAGGTATTTCCTTATTTATCTCCCTACAATTATGTGTGTGTATACATGAATATGTGGACATAAACACACACATTTATATAAACACACCACACCCACATGTATGTGAATATTTCCACCTTCTCTACCCCTACTCTGGGCTGTTTTGCAGGTACAAACACACATATTTGAGGTGATCTCTGCCCATTGCATCCCCATGCCATGGCTCATACTTGGGCATGTGACCTGGCTTTGTCACCTTCCATGTTCTTGTGGGCTACAGAGGGATTCTGGGCGCCAGCCAAAATTGTAAAAAAAGCTGTTTCATTTTTATGACTTTGTTTCTATCACCACCTCCTCTGTTTTCCCAGTTTTACATGCAAGAGCAGAAATTAACCCTAATTTACATGCAATTTATGATCCAGGGACCTGAAGCTGTACAAACACTGGTCTTTTGTAATGCACAGATATTTAGCAATGGTGATCATATGTGTCTAGAACAACTTCTTTAGGGATGGAATTTCATCACATCTTCAGCCAGGATGTTCCTCTGACAGAAAGCAGAAGCAGAGGGTTTCTTTCGGGGGCAAAATTTTGTCTGGGTCATTCAAGAAATCTGGCTGGAGTGTTTCTCCTCACATTCTGCTCTGAAGGTTTGTGGTTATATGAAAGAAAGGGGCTGAAGACTGGAGAAGTGGAAATACTTACTGTCTGCATCTTTCATTTCCAAAGCTTCCCTTCATTTTAAGTAGCACAGTTTGGAAGGAGGTTTTGCTGGTAGTGCCTTCACACTGTGGTTTATTGCCTCGATTTGTGTTCTTCCTGTAATGCTTATGGATGGTTAATTGATGTACTTCTTGATTTTAGTCTTCTCCAGAAGGCAGAGGGTGGAGAATCTGGGAGCTATGAGGTGGAGCAATGAATTTCTCAGTAAGCTCTGAAATCTCTGCTTTGTCAATGCTTCTGCCTCTCTATACCTATCAGTAAAACTGTGTGTGATGTCTTCATGGCTAATTGGTGCTTAAGTGCTTTCAGAGCTGTGGGTAAACCACTAATTAGTCACAGTCATTTAGTCAAAATTACTAAAGACGGATATTTTCCCATATGCTCTATTTGTTCAGAGAAAATGTCTTGAAAATTCTGTGATTTAGGTTTCCCTGGAGTATTTGCCGTTGGTTGGTTGTTTGTTTGTTTGACAATGACTTTCTGCATTGTGGTTAATACAGATGCTGAATTATGCTGTCTGCTTCCAGTTTTTGTGAATATTCTTTGGGTTTAAATAGTGAAAAATCCTCTTTCCAGAAAGAAATGTGGAAATGGAGCAGGATACAGATACTGCTGTGATAACTGTTTTGTGTCAATATGTTCTACATCATCACTGGGACTGGGATTTATCTCATCTGCACCCTCTCTTGTACAGATCTATTTTATAGAGACATGATCTGTTTTATAGAGACATACCAACATGCCTGTACACAAAACACACATGCACCCACAGTCTCTTACATTACATTGGGGAAGAACCATGAGGCTCAAGCGTGTTGACTCAACTATTTAATGAGGTGCAATAAATCTTGACAAGACCAGCTGGCACTAGAGTCAGGTTTCTCATCTTTTTACCATTACATTGAAATGTGAACAATAGTGGGAAGAAATGTAATTCTTCTTTGTTGTTCTTTTGGTACTCAGCTATGCAGCACTGTATTGGAATCATCCCCTTCCATGGAATGCAAAGCATGGTGGATGCTATGGAAAATGTTACCCGTGCAAAGGTCCCTTTTCCTGGTGCTTTTTCTTAAATTCTGAAAACGTTTTGGTCTGGCAGGTCACAGTTGTGATCAGCACTGAGGTCCCTGCAGCACACACTGGCTGAGCAGAGCAGCAGCACTGGGGAATGATGCCCAGAATATTCTCAATCTTTGACCCTGCCTGTCACCAAGCTCCTCCTTGTTGTACAGCACACCATGACATCCTTTCCTTTCTCATTCTGCCTTCTCCCCAGGGGCATTGCTGGCTCATTATTGCTACCACCAGCTGCAGTTACTTGAGTATCTTTTTTTTAAAAATAGGAGTAATTAAGTATCTTGGACATCTAAGCATTTGGCATGCTTCCAAAGCACTCAACGTGGCCTCCCATATAGGATTCCTTTTTAATGGACCAGATTTATTCTTGTGAAAAGAAATCTGTTTAAATAGCATACTTTTTTGGGGAGTAGGTTTTGCTCCTGTCAGTGGCATCCATCAATCTCTTTCATGTTTCCAGCCTCACCACTCAATGCCAATCAATCTTTAAAAAATAATTGCTCCCAAACCAACTGGATGCCTCTGGATTCACTTGAGAAAGACTGTCTGAGCTTTGAAGTGTATCCCATAATGATGGCTGGCATCTCCATAAGTAATAACTGCACCTCCTTGCTTTGTGATTGCAGCATTTGATGTGTGCTGGGCTCTGGTGCCTGGTGGAAGGAGACACATCCTGTAAAACAAAGTTGGACCCCCCTCTGGATGGCACCGAATGTGGCGCGGACAAGGTAACAGGATGCTCAGCAGCAGTCACTTCTTGTTTCCCAGCATTGGGACTAATGTTTCCAAGATGTTCAGTATTTACCATAAACCCATAGCTGGTTCTGTTCTGGGGTGTTACTGGAGATAGAAAGTGTGCAGAGCGTTTAGCCTGACATGTGGGGAGGTGTAGAAGATAGGGAAGGAAAAAGAAGCTACTTAAAAACTTTATAGTTTCTACAAGTAGCTCAAAATAATTGAGCTGAAATTCAGTGATGTTCTGTTCCTTTTGAAGTATAATTGACTGTATTTATTTACATATGTATTTTCTGGAACATGACTGGTTTGGTAACTCTCAGCCCCCTACTTACTGGTTTTGGACTCTAATATTTTTTCTTTTTCCCTATGGTGTAGCTGGGGAGGTAAGAAAGAGTAAAATTAAAAAGCTGGCTTCTGAAATCAAGGATTGGAACCTTTTCTTTTCCTGCAAATAAAGATAAACAATGACAAGAAAAACTGGGTCCTGGAAACCATGACAAGAAAAAAAAGGTTTTTAGGCCCATGTTTTTCTAACTGGAGGAATCCTGGTGACTCTTTCATAAGGTTTCTTAGCAGTGCTCACTGTGTCACATCCTGGCCAGGCCAAGTTTGCTGCTTGGTCAGGAGCCAGCACAACCTATTAGAATCAGAGGGGTTTGGGGCTTGAGCCAAGTTAGGTCCAAAATACTTCAGTCATTTTGTACATACTGGGAGCAGTGCTGATGAAGGCATTGCTTTGGGGTATAATTTCTTGGACTCAGTTTCTGTGAATCGTGGGGCTTTAAGTCTTAGTACTTAGATAATTATCTGCTTTATGAAGTAAGGGGCTCAGTTCTGTGATTGTTTTTTTTAATGACAGAACCCCCTTCAGGGGCTTGTTGAGAGTGACACTTAAATTTTTACATTTCACCTCCTCCCTTCCTCCTCCTCCTACTGCCATCTCACCAAAGCCTCGAATCCCTAGAAACTTAAACACGGACTTGTTGCAATCCCTCAGCCATCCTTTAAAGTCCACCTGTGCAAGGTCAGGGCTTCTTCCCAGGCTGTGCTAACGTGATTGCCTTGCAGTGGTGCCGAGCTGGGGAGTGTGTCAGTAAAACCCCCATCCCTGAGCACGTGGACGGGGACTGGAGCGCGTGGAGCCAGTGGAGCATGTGCAGCCGGACGTGCGGAACAGGGGTGCGCTTCAGGCAGCGGAAATGTGACAACCCCCCGTAAGTCCTCACACCATCCTGGCTCCTTCTGCCATGCTGGCAGCCTTTCCCTCATGGGCAATCCTTGCTGCAAGAGTACAGGGGAGAAATGTGCAGCAGAGCTGGGCAGAACCCTGAGAAATTTCTCATTCACAAGCTGTGATGACCGGGTTGGAATCCTGTGACTTGCAATAGGTTCTGTGCAAGTGGCTTGAAGGGTCACCTTTGGAAGTTTCCCATTGGAGTGATTCAGAGCTGGATACAGTTGAGTTAGATACATGTAGTTTGGCAGAAAAACTGATGCTGTGTTTCCCCTCCAGCACTACAGTGAATGAGGAGGGGCTGGTCTGGATCTACAGACCAAAGTGGGCCAATGTGCCATAGAGATCAGTTTTGCAGGAGTGCTTGCTCTGGGCTTGGGGAGCAATGATCAGTGTCTCAGAGCTGGCAGATCAGTGTTGGCAAAGCCCCTTGAGATACTCTGTAGGTCAGGATGTGCTGCATAAGAACAGGAAGGTTTTCATGCATGCAGAGAGCTGTGGGTGCTGTTTAGCTCCTGCACAGTGGTCGATGCTCTCTGCATGGGCTTGGATTTTTTCTGATTCAGGATGAAATGTAGGTGTTGTCCTTCATCCCTCAGGTTAGTTGAAGCCCATCTGGAAGTCTTTATCATTTTGGGGTCCTGAAGAGGTTACAATGGTGTAGTTTAACTGGCCACCCAATTGTGTTTATTATAACTTCACAGCCTTGAGAGCAGCCCTCCAAGCGCAGTAGCTCTGACTTTATTCAGATTTTATGTTTTCTTCTATGCACAAAGTACCCAAAGCTTTTCTTTTTAAATTGGGGCTGGAATTCTGCATAGCAACACAGTCACTTTGAAGACGTGCCTAGATGATGGATAGGCTCACAATTGTTGCTGTTGACCTCTAATCATGTGAAAAGAATATTTTTGTTTATTCCTCTCCTTATCTGAGCTGCAGTTGCATGTCTATAATATCCAGGTTTAATTTTTACCAGCTCATTTTCCTGAAAAAGGGACTGAGCTGGTTTCTTTGCTGTCAGCTACAGTGCTGACCAAACCTAAATCCATTCATCATCGTTCATTAAATTACAGGAAATGCTCCTTCCAACACTGCACACTGATTTTAAAATTCTCTTGCTCATATATATTCTTGGCTGGAGATACACACGTGATCTTCTTTTGCTTCAGATTCCTGGCCTCAGCCCACTTCTGCAGCTGGTTTATTCACTGTCCAGAAATACTGGCTAAGGGATTTATCTTTTATTTTGTATATATTTGGTCTTGGGATTTTTTTTTACAGGAATCTCTACTCCTGCCAGCTGACTCTTGAGCCTGTGGGACTATCAGTTTTTTTAAACCAGTTGCTTCACTGTTTGATTTGGTTTTTCCTCTCTGTAATTTCTTTGAACATTTACATGCATTGCCTCCCCATGGTTGTAAGGAATGTGTCATAAGCCAGTTTGCACGTGCAGACTTTTGAGTTGTACTGCCTTGTGTTCCTGTCTAGGCTTTGGGCTGTTGTTGTACAGTGGGACTGAGGAGAAAACCATTGGCTTAAACAGGGCATCCCTTTTTCAGTCCCCCCTTGTCATGTGAAAGGGTCACAGCAGCATAAATGGACTTTGATTTTTTTCAGTTCCTTCAGTTGGTGGATTCTTTTGACATAAATACAGTGAAAGGTGGCTGCCTACCAGAATGTCTCACACAGTCACTGTTTCAGACATGTGCCAGGAGGGGCTTGGATTGCACTGTTTATTGGAAATCCCAGGCTTAAGCTCATAAGTGCAAGGCTTGGGACTGGAATTCCAGATTCCATGATTACCTGTGGGTTTTTTGTTTGTATTCTGTTTTACCTTGCAAAGAAAATACTGACTATTGCTGAGAGTTTGAGTTTTCCTTCTTCTCTGGGGATTCATAAATAAAAACAGATAAGTTTTGCAGGTGCTTAATTCTAATGTGGCATTAGTGGCCTTTCCTGTATGTTTAAAAAACAAATGTGTGGAATGGCATGGATTTCATGGATGGAGGTTATCTGCAGCACATGTTTGTTTCTGGATACCCTGCCTACAGTGCAAGTTATAGCTGCTTCTGTGGCATTTTAATTGCAAGGAGGACACGTGCTGATGGGATGTTTGCTGTGTCTCCATCCTCAGGAGTGTTTGAGGCAGGAGGCAAAGCAGGGTGGAAGGGGGAAGATGGAACATTCCAGGTGTTTGGTGCTGACCCTGGTTTTGTTCCCTGCTGCAGCCCGGGGCCGGGTGGGAAGAACTGCCGGGGGGCCAGCGTGGAGCACACGGTGTGTGAGAACCTGCCCTGCCCCAAAGGGGTGCCCAGCTTCAGGGACCAGCAGTGCCAGGCCCACGACAGGTACACCAACAAGAAGAAAAGCCTCCTGACAGCTGTCATCGTGGATGGTGAGTTTTCTCATCTCCCTCTGTAATTCTTTGCTGTTCTTTCACTGCAGTTTCTCATCTGCAGGGCTCCATTGTTGGTGAGAAAGCTGCAGTAGGCCCCCTTTAGCTACAGCTGAAAGACTAATTACAATTAATTGTTCTTGGTGCTGCCCTGCTGTTCTTTTGGCCTTCTTAACAGAACATAGAGAGTTGTCAATGCTTTACTCATCTTTTTGAAATGATGGGAGAGAAGTGCCTTAACTTGATTCCCAATCTGAAATTCCCATCTGGGAATCAGACTGGGAATTTCAGACTGGGAATCAGGGAGCTGGGAACTTAAACATGAAAAAGTTCCAGTTAGTTTGGAGCTGGAAAAAAAAAGGTGGATTCCCTATGACATAATTTATGTCACTTTGGGACATTTCAGCATGATTGTTTATCTCACCTACATTCTTTTAACACTTCTTCTGGGTTTTGCTGTTCATTTGCTATTCAACCTGATGTTGGTGGGGTAGGAAATGGTCTGGAGAACTTGTTCTTCTAAAATCACTGGCTGTAGCCTGAATTTTTTGAGACCTAATGACTTGATCATTGTTATCAGACTGATGAATGTTCCCTGTAGCAAACATCTTCCCTTTACAAACAGATACACTCAACTAATTGGTTTTCTGTGCTGTTAAAGCCCAGTCTCATCAGTGTAACCCTTTAAATAGTTATATTTACAGTGGGGAAATGACAGGCCTAAACTGAAAGCCTCATGTTGCTTCAAAGATGAGATATCCAAATGTATTCATGTAGAGAATGCATCACCATTGCCTCAGACACTTGTTTGTGCTGTTCCCAAGGGTGGTTGTCATATTTCTTTTCCCAGATAAGCCATGTGAGCTCTTCTGCTCCCCACTGGGCAAGGATTCTCCCGTGCTGGTGACAGACAGAGTCCTGGACGGAACTCCCTGCGGGCCTTACGAGACAGACCTCTGTGTACATGGCAAGTGCCAGGTGGAGTAACCTTCTCTTGTTCTATTTCTAGTGGTAGGTTCAGTCTGGGGCAGCACCGTGTTGGGGGCTGGGGGGCTGTCCCTGAGGGGAGGGGACAGCCCTGTTTTATAAGGCCCACTGCAAGTGCTCCATGGCCCTGTTATTGGTCTGAGAATTGTGCTGAATGCCCGAGGTATGATATTATTCCTGAACAGCTGGGAATGCTCAAAAATCACATTTGCTTGTGTGCATGGCTTGGGTGGGAAGGGACTTCTGTGAGGGGAGCAGATTGGAAGGGAAGTCTGGCCTGCTTAACTGCTCTTTTTTGGCTATTAGAGGAATCACTGATAAAAGCACTGAAGCTGCAAATCAGCTTACAAATTGTCACTAGACTGTTACAAACATTATCTTGCCAGAATCATGATGCTTTTCTGGTCCACCAGAAATACTGAGGAAGCTTTTCAGAACCAGTGGCTCCTCAGCTCCTGTAGCTACATGAGCCAGAGTTTTCAGATGGAATTCTCTTTTCCTTAGAGTGATAGCCTATAACAATTGCAGTGATTATTTCTCTCTAACCAAATTACACACACACCCAAAATGAGGTGTGGGAGATCTGCATAATAAAACTCATGGTTTGCTGAGAGAGTTTGTAATACATTGAATGCTAAGGAGGGCAGCTCTTAGAGCTGGTGCTTCAGGTTCCTCAAAAATTTAATGGAGCTGTGTAGATACAAAGATGGAGATTTAATGTTTGGACAAGGGAAGAAGGATGAGAAAATGTGTATTCAAAGATCATAAAAGACAGGAAGTTGTTTGGAGTGAATGCTCCTGATGATGGGTTCAGGTCATTTGTCAGTTTGACAGGGCAGACCCTTCATGAGTTTCCTCTCTCCTGGTCATGGAGCACATGTTCAAAGTGTGCTGCACACACCACAGTGGTGGGAAAGACAGTTCACTTGGCTACAGCAGCCTTGCCAGAGCTGGATTCTTCCTGGCAGTTCTTCCCTTTAAGTTTCTCCTCATGTAGATCTGTATCCTGTGGTAGGAATTGCTCTTCCTGGTATTAACCAGCCTGCTGTATCCACCAGAACAGCTTTTTAGCATCACTTTTTATTTCCACTAACTTCACTGGTTTTCCCTGGGGGCACAGGGCACACCAAATTTACATTATTTCTGATTTCTGTGAGTGGTTAAGAAATGCCAGTTTTTATTGCTTTGAACCTTCCAGGCAGGGAGATAAATGAGCACAATACCCACCTGGGTGTGAGAGAGGCTTTGGGGGCATAAAGCAGCTTTACTAACAACAATGCAAAGAGAGAAGTGAAAAAATCTTTGGACTGAATTTTGCACTGCTGGAGGAGACACTTCCCACTGTTTCTTGACAAATGATGCTGAAGAGGCATTTTTAATTCACTCTTTCTAATTTATTCCAATGAAGAATATGAATAGCAATAGTCTGGGAGCCAGTACAAGTTTGATTCTTTATAATACAAAGTGCTTTGCACATAGAGCCAGGTTCATGGTGCATCCCAAGTTACTTAATTTTTCCCAGTTTTTGGCTATGTCTGAAAAAAGCTAAAACAAAAACCCATTAATAACCTTTTATAGTCAGGCCAGCTGTGCACCTCCAGCTGTGTGCCATTGACCATTACTCTGGGCTGGCCAGTTTTATTGCTCCAAACCTTCAGAACTGCCACAAATGGTAAATCAGACATCATGGCAAGGCACCTTTTTTTCATCCAGGGAGGATCAGTAGCCAGCTCCCTCCAAATGAATTCCTTTATGAGCACAGAGCACTGGAGGTACATCACGAAAAGCAAATTGCACTCTGAGTCGGGGGCAACTGCCTTTAACTGTGCAGAGAGGTGATGACAGCTGCAGAACATTCAGTCCATTTGCATCTGGCTGAGAAAAAATGTGAAATGATCAGTTCAAGCCGAGCAGATTTGAAAGCCCTGTGAACTCATTTATAATACTCCTCTGCCATATATGCAGTGCAGTGCTGAGAATTGCCATATGTGCCTGTGTACCCCATTTGCCACAGATACTTGTCTAACTAGCTGCCTATTAAACCAATTTAATTGCCATATTCATTTAATTACTCCTCTCCTTGTTTCTTTACCCGGCGTAGACAAAGCCTGGCAATAAGTATTGCAGGGGGCCTGGAGAAGAGAGTAAGTGCTGAAATCAGAGGGTGGTATTACTGTTATTTATTTTCTTATGTAATCCTTCTAGTTAGAAGCACTCAAAAGCAGGAATGACACATTGTCAGTGCAACAGACAAATTAGCAGTATCCATTGCCTGTGAACAACTAGCCCAGGAAATGTAATAGATCTTCTTCCTTCACTAGATGCTCCTAAACGCAGCTTGTGAATCATTCTTGGATGATGAATGAATGTAGATGAACATGGCAGAGAAAAAACTGTTGCAAGGAGAGGAGGGTTTTGAGAAGGAAAGCAGGATCAGATTCTCTGAAGTCTCAAGATGCCCCAGATTTGGGGCACTAAGGGAATTTTTCTTCAGTTGTACTTTTTGAAGTTACGACAGTTTCTCTTTAAAGCTGAACTCCAATCTAAAAGGTGTCAATGAAGCCTTTGCTGTCAGCTGAAACAAAAGCATCAAAAGCAGCAGCATCTCTATATTTATCCTTTACACCTGAAGGCAGCTGGAGTGAGTAAACTTGGTTATTACTTTGATCATGCATAGAAGCACCAGAGCAAAGTCAACCCTAAATTTAACATGGGGGTTCCTAAATCACTTAGACTTACTCTAGCCTTATTCCTTGTTTTTGAGATTAATCATAAGGTCTTAATTCAATTTTTTCCTAGTTTGAGTTGTTTTTGAGGCTGAACGTTTCAAATGCACCATTTTTTACCATCCTCTGAGCAAACTGGATCCCCTGTTCAAAGCATATGTAGGTCTTTGACCTTTCCTCCTCAAAATGCACATGGTTTTCTAGCAAGGAATATTTATTTTCTCCAGAGATTTTTCAGAGACAGAAAATCTGTAGCAGGCTGGAGAACAAGAGCAGCCTGATGTGTTGGAGGAGGAGGAGGAGGGTGAGTGCTCATTTAGGCTTTGCAGCAATTTGCCTTCCCTGTCATGGCCACTGCAGCCATGGGGAAGGTGGGGTAGGGCTGTGCAACCTGCACCTCACACTGGGTTCATCTCCTCCCATTTCCCTTCAAGTGACAAATGGCTTTCAGGGAGAGGATTCCTGAGGGTTTTTTTCTTCTCTGGACCTGTGGGGTGTGTGTTTGATGAGAGAACACTCATGAGAACAGGGCACTTTCTAACCCCTTACTGTGTTTTGCTCTGTGCTGCTGAGGTTAATTCAAAACTGCTGGCAGAAGTGGAACTAAAAAAAGTGTCAGATGTCACAGAGCAGAGGGGTGAGGAGAAGACAAGCTGCTCAGCTGACTGTTATGATGCACATGACCTTGTGCTGGCTTTTCTCAAAGGAGGATTAGCCTGAGCCTCATGACAGCATGAGAACTTTCCAGTGGGGACTACAGATTGTGCTTCAGGATGTAATTTAAGGTCTCTGTGAAAAGAGAGACCTCCTGTATAGCAAGAACTGGGCTAGAGATCAAGGGCAGTCTTTGCTGTGATTTAACAATTTAAGAGGTGAAGATGTTTTGGCTCTATCTGAAGTTTTCTCATTAATGTTTTGTCATATCACACCTCCTTTCAACTGGCTGGTGAATCCACGGTGTGTGTAATGATAATAAGCCACATATTAGGCTGTCCTGGCACAACAAAATCTTTACAGAACTACTTTCTTCTGAAAGTGATTGTCACACTCTATGAAAGGGGAGCACAAATTGGAAAATGGTCAGATTTTCAAAAATAGCTTCTGCAAACTGGGTAGGCAGAGTGTCAGGAGAGTGCCACAGGTGGCAGAGGAGAAATTGAAGTTGTCTACTGGACCTGCTTCTGGCAAACAGTTTTTAGATACTTAGTACCCACTTTTTGCATTTGATTGATGCCTGGAGTTCTGGCTTTGTCTCCTCACTTGAGTATTTTCCATGTATTATTCATATTCCTGCATTACAAACTGTGGTACAAGATGTTCCAGACTGGGTAGCTTGTCTCCATACAACAACTTGGCTTAGCACTGAACTTTGATAAATTATTTAGTGCATGTGCACAAAATCCAGAAGGATTGTCTGAACTACAGAAACCTGTTGTATAATTGCCTTTTGGGTTTTTTTTCTATGTCTGGATATGTAGCAATGTAATCTGAGGTTAAAAAGAGTATAATGGATTTTGGTGAGTAAAGCATAGTGACAAAACGAAATCTTTATCAATATCCTACTAATTTGTGTTGTACTTTGCAGTGGGGTATGAAAAAACCAAACCCATGCTATTTCCCCCAATTTTTCTTCCATTTTATCCCATGGAAAGCATATAATAGAACAGAAGCAAAGGAGTTCCTGGGATGGGAAAGAGCTTTGTATTATTTGCATGTTCTCTCATGAACACAGAGGCTTTGACACATAGCCTTAAATATCTATATGTGAAAAATCATGAATTATTGTGTCTAACACCCCCATGAGCTGCTGAGGGATCTAAGCACAAAGTCAATGGCAGATGACATTGCAGATCTAATGCAGATGAGATAATGCTGATGTAAAATAGGATGTGTCTAACTCCTGATCCAGCAGAGCTGCTCTGATTCAGACAAAATCTGAAGGCTTGGGAAATGACAGGAGGATATTTGCTGAACTAACCTTAGCACAAAATTTGTTGTGGAACAGAAATTGAAGTATCTCAGAGATGAACTGCTTGATTAGGGACCCAGACTCACCTCACCGAGCCCTGCCAGCCCCCACGACCCTCCACAGGGGCAGACGTGTTTAAAACAATGAAATAAGAATTCTCTTCCCCTCAGATCTGAAAGTCACTTGCTCACATCTGTACATTCCTGTTTCATGTGGTCCATCCCTGGAGGTATCAATGGCATTGGATATTATGGACAGAAGGAATTGGCAGTGTAGATTAATCTGTCATAACCAGCCTGCTCTGTACATGATTAATTTGTAAAGTGGCACATGTTGCATCAATATTTATATTTGATCCATTGAGACAGCCAGTTAGTTCAGCATATGGGAAGCATTACAGTTTTGTGAGCCTACAATGTCATTTCTTGCACAGAGTGGGTGTATATAACAAAAATAATTGTGTTTATGTAGCAAAACATACTCTCACAAGCTGTATCAATTGAGCTTTTTCACAGCCATTGAAAATACAAATAAAAATATCATTTAAAAATACCCAAGCAATACAGAGAATAGTTCACACAGAAGAATCCAAGTGATACGTATTCAAAAGAGAAGAGTTTTCCTATGTTGGAGCCAGCTATGACTGAAGCTGGAAATACCACCCAACAAGCAGTACTTTCAGATGTTTAATTATAAAAATGAGAAGGAGAGGGAGGGAGGGAGGGGGGGAGGGAGGGAGGGAAGGAAGGGTGGATGGAGATATCAGCTTAAAGAGAATTAATTTCAGGTCTTTGGCTCAGCAAACGTGCAGTTACCTGCCAATTTAAAGATCAGTGGCTAGTTCCAAAATATGGTGTCAGAGCAGGAGACTACCTGGGTGGAAGAGCCTTAAGAAACCTGTGGACATATTTCTGACTGTCCATGCTGAGTACCTGAAGCCCTGAAATACTTATTTTCATGTTTCTTGCCAGCATTCCCATGTTTTAAAGCTGCTTCCCTTCTCACCAGTCCATTCAAGACTGATGGAACTGAAAGTACCCAGAAATTGCTGGATGGGCTGGTCTGTGGGCTCAGTCTGCTCATCTGCAGGATAACTCTTGGGTCAGAAAAAACACAGGATGTTGTTATTTACAGGGTCTTTCTTTCTTCAGAATGTAAAGGTTCCCTTGTCTGCTTCTTGATTTAATGAATTTCCTTACCTTGATTGGTTGGAGTGGACAGGAAGCAACACAAAGCAAGTGAGAGATGGCAAAGATCAAACAACTCCCTTGAACTATTTAGGTTTTAAGGGATTCTTTCTGCACTGTGAAAACTTGACTTTTGAGCAGTGAAACTTGGGATTTTCCCTTTGCATATGGTTAATTAAGCCTTCACGTTTTGGGAAGATTTCTGCAGACTGAGGACAGCTCTGTAGTTAAAGGATGGGCAGTATAATACACAGAGCATATTGTCAGTGGGAAGCTGCTGATTTACACACTGGATGGTTTTTCCAACCAGTGCTGGAGTCTTAGGGGCTCTCACACCTTGGAGAAATCTCTCAGTTAACAGCCCAAGGACTGCTAGCAGATGCTTTGTACCCACAAAGGTGACAGCCACTGTGTTCTGCCCTTCCAGTCCTGTCTCTTCCCCTTTGATTCACTGATCCACTTGTTTTAAGAGTGACCATGGTGGTGGTTTTGAGATTATTTTCCATGTGGGGAGTTCTCAGAGGATCAGAGCGACCAAGGTGGTCAGAAACACTGCAATGTGTTTCTAAATGACTTTGCAGCTTTTGGAATCCACTGTCAAATCTTACCCAAAGCTGTTTCATTATGTACTGTTATTAAATGTACTCTTATTAAATGCACTTTCAGTTTGGAAATGATTGGAAGCCTTGGGGAGGGGGAAATGGGCTCTAATGTTTATGTAGACAACACAAAGTGCTTCCAAGGTATTTTTCCCCCATAAAGTAACAAGAATGCACCAATTTTCATCTTGTAGCCAAGAAAAAAAAAAGTGTTTTATTCTCTTAGAGATATTCCTTTGTAAGAAGCCATTTCCTGACCCAAATGTGATGGGGGCTTTAAGTCTCAAGGCCTGGATTGAGGGAAAAGTTTGCCCTGTGAATGGGAGTAATGGTGCCATTGAAGAGGAGGGTGCAAGGGCCATTCCCAGTTCCTTCCTCACAGGGAATAGGGTGAAGATGAAAGGTAAAAACCAGCAAAGATACTGGGTGTTACATTTGTGGATTCAGTGGGTTCTTTCCATGCCTCTCAAGGGCCTCTCCAGTGGAAGGGTGTCAGTGAGCAAGTAAAGGTGTGAGGAGATGCCATGTCTTGAGCCCCAGTCCCAGATGAGGGGGGACTCAGCCTTCCCAAGCTTTGCTGGCTCACACTGGTTTCCATTATCTGGGGAACTCCAGTGTAAATACAAAGCATGTGATTGCCAACTCCTCATTCTTTCCCTGCCTCCGTTAGAGTGCTACAGACTCCTCATGTAGCTCTGGGAATAAGTGTGGTTCAACACTCATTATGTTCCCTTTATTCATGTGTGTGCTCACATAGTGCTAATAACAATGCAGCACAATAAAAGATAGCACCAGAGCCTTAAATTAAACACAGCCTTTCCAGTATCTCAGCAGGGTGGCAGGCAGACATTTATTTCCAGCTGCCTTTCAGCAACCCCATTAATAAATCATCCTGATTTTCCTGGAAGGAGAACTGCTGGGACATCCTTCTGTTCTGGGGGCAGAATCACGTTCAATATCCCAAAATTATTTGTTGGACATGGGCGTGAAGTTCAGGCTTGAGAATTGCAACTGCCAGAAACTCCACGATCTTCTTCCTCCCTCTTTTAACTCCCATTTATGCATTTATACAGGTTTTTTCCTGCTGTTCCTGTGCACCAATGTAGGTGCTGTGCCAGTTAATGAGCAGCATTTCCCTGGTGTGTGTTTAGGATGATCACCCTCTCTCAGCATGTCTGTCCCTAATGATTTACCCAGACAAGCTTTGCATCAGCACATGGTGGAATGCTGGCAGTCTTTGATCCCTGAAATACATCTGGACTCAGGCAGTGGCCAGGGTCTTCTGAAACAAGGGGAATGTTGGAATTCTGATCCAAATTGCATTGCTTACATGCAGACAGGCTCAGATAAACAGCCCGAGTTCTCTTAATATTTCCCTGCTTACCCTATTTTTCAAAATGTTTGTTGTTTTGATTGTTCCCTAAGATATCTCTCCAACTTTCCTCTGGCTTCATCATAGGAAGGCAAAGAAGGGAGAGACCCAATAGCCTTATTCAAATAAGTCTTACTAGTGACAGTCCTGCTACTCATTTGCCAAGAAACTGTTTATCTATGCAGGATAAATCTTAAACTCATTTTTAATAGTGCAATCTCTGCTAATGACTTGCATAATGACAAGGCTTATTTCAGTAGAAATTTATGTTTTAAGAGTGGATTGCTGATCAATTTGAGGGTCTTAAATGGACAGAATACAATTTATATAGATTAATGACAGATCTGCAAGAGTGAAATGTTCACCATCATAACCTGTGAATGCTTTGTGAATAAGGAAGATTATGGTGATAATCCTGACAGCTACAGGGAGAATATTGTGACTCTTCCCTTGTGTGGAAGCAGAATTGTAGGTTTTTATTGGGGAAAAAAAAAATGTATATATATAAAATTATGAAAACACCATTTATAATGAAGCTTTAGATGAAACTGTTAGATTTTTATCATTTATTTTTCAATTGAATGTTGATTCTTAATATAGTGCAAGCATGTGGAAAATTTCATAATTACCTAGGCAGTCCTGTGGTAGAAATTGGCCTGATAAGGAACTGATCTGCTTCCACTGAACTACTCTTTCATTTCAGGTATCTTGAGCCATCTCATTAATGAGGTCTTTTTTCAGGTGTTTCAAAAGTTTAATTAAGAGTTCAATGTTTTCTCTCCATTGAGGTTTTCAGTCAGATGTCAATCTTAGTGTTGACCTCATTATTTAGAGATGCTCTAACCTTGCAAACAAAGTAATGGGGGTCTCTGGTTGTTGTCATTAGAAAATTGGCTGTGATGGGATCATTGGCTCAGCTGCCAAAGAGGATCGCTGTGGGATCTGCAGTGGAGATGGGAAAACCTGCAAAGTGGTGAAAGGAGACTTCAACCACACCAAGGGAATGGGTGAGTAACACTCTGGGCTTCTCCTACCTGCTGGAGGAGAGTTGGGATAGCAGGAGCAGCTCTTCTTCTTGGGTAGCACTGGGGTCACCTAGCAAAAACACCTAGTTTGTGTTCCTAAGGAACACAAAACAAACCCCAACTCACTTCAGGTGTGATATCCCATCTGCCTCTTACTCAGTCACCCAGATATCAGCCACTGCCTCTGCCTGAAATTCAGACTGAAGTTGTGTTTCTCATTCTGAGTGCTACTGGTGCTGATGATTTTAAATAGGAGACAAAATCACAGAATCTTTCCCAGTGGGAGGGAAGTTGGATTTCAGCACCATCTTTGAGGTCTCAGAATAATGCATGTTCCATGTTGTAGATGATTCATGTTATAATCAGAATATCTCAGCTAAAGGAAAGAACAGTTCACTCCCCTCTGAATATTTTTACTGATTCTCTGCCAGCAAAAATATCCAGTATAGGATATAGGACTTTGGAATTAAGACTTTTCCCTTTCTTGTTAAACATTATTGTATGTACAGCTTGGTGTTTGAATTAGTCTTTGTTCCAGGGTTTCTGTACTACACTTCTGAGAACCCTGTTATCACACACACCCTAATTAGCCAAAGGGAGGGAAAGCCATGTCCAGAACTTGGAAGCTGCTCCAGGAGGAAGCAATTGTCCAGAAAAAAAATTATTTCCCATTCAGTGAATACAGAACTGGCATTCCTATATGGAGAAATACATTCAGTGTGCTGCTCCAGGGCTGAGTTCCACAAAGCACATGAAAATCCCCTTTAAGCACACACTTCAGTTCAGTTGAATGGCTAAAGCAGCACCAGTGCTTAGTCCAGGTCTGAGCCCTGAAGTCTGAGGCTCTGATTTTGTTCACTGACCTCTTCCTCTGCGCCCTCCTCCTCACCTGTGGGGCCAGCTGGGATCTGTCACCTCCTGTGAGATGCAGGTAGGATTTCCCACCTGCACCACATCTCTCTGGAGCACATCTGTGTGCTTGGCCAACCTGTTGAATGGTTTCCTGCATTAGTGCCTTTGACTCTTTTGTCCCAATTATTTTCCACCCACTTACATCAAGTCTTTTGCATTTGTTGCAAGTGGTGGGAAAAGTTCCTTATTTCCATTGAAAAAACCCCAGCTATTCTCCATTTCTGTAGCAGCTTATACAACTTTCATGGATTTCTTACATGCTGCTGAAGAGTAGCTATCTTTTTTCCAATGAGTCTACAAAACATCTTGTGCAGATAAATACAAAATTTCTGGGTCGCTGCCAGGAGGTTGCACCCGTTTCCAGCTACACAGACTGCTTGAGGTGGTGACTTTACAAGGCTGTAGGAGCAGAGCAGCTTCAGCCTTAACTGGCTGCCAGGATTCTGCAGGAGGTTTTCACCCCCAGTGCCCTGGAACCGAATCAGAAAGAATTCCTGATGACTCGTGGGCAGTGTTCAAGCATTCAGATTCTCTGCTGATCATCTCAGACACACAAACCTGTCAAAGTGTTGCTTTGTCAATGCAATGTTTCCACCTTTAGCCATCTCACTTAATCTAGAAGATAATTGTTATTACCTCACAGCCATTTATTAGATGTTTTGTTTTATTTTTAATTTAATTTGGAAAGTTAATTACATATTATGTCTGCTTCCATCCATTTCTGTTTACATGCTGCTGTTTTGCAGAATCAGGTCCTCAGGTGAGCCCACTGAATTTCATGCAGTAAGCAAAGCTCCAGATCTGGGGTATCACAAGTGAACGTGGTGTTACTCAAGGGAAAAAAAGGCTTTTTATTTTAAATTGACAGTTAGCAAAAATGTGCAAAAATTTTATCGAAGCTGGGGCAAAGAAAGATCCACAATATTCTGGTGATAACAAGTTCAAGGTCTGGGTGTGTAAATGATTGCACAGTTCAGTGGCAAATCCTCGCCACCTGGCTGCATTCCAAGTCAAGGCCAAGACCCCAAGTCCAGTGTGCTGATTTATTATTTCAAAAGAGAATAGACTTCAAACATCAAGACATTGATTGTTTTGGAGTGGGATCTGTTTGGGGAATTGCAGCTGCAGCCTTGAGCCTTGGCTCTGCCCGTGGGACTCCTCTGGTTGCAGGATTGGTCCTTCTGTGTCCTGTGATTGCAAATGATGATGTGGAGCCCTGTGAACTGAACTAAACCCCTGCCAACTCCTTTCTGTTTCTTAGTAACCAATAGTCATTGTAAGAAGGTTTCCACATGTGTGATGGCAAAGGCAAAGGCTGTTCCCAAGTGTTTCTCGTGTAAGATACTTGAATGCTGTTTGCAGTGTCAGTGGGTGTCGGTGAAATCCTTTGGTGTTGGTTCTTTATCTTCATTTTGTCGGATTAGATGGGGAAATTTGGTATCAAAAGCCATGGATAAACTTCAAGTCCTTTTACTGTTTCACTTGCCTTGTCAGAGATATAGTGCAGAACCTTTTAGGGAACCTATCCTGGAAAGGAAGCCAAATTTTCATGCAACAAGCAAAAAGAACCAGATCTATTTCTTTTTTTCCCCAACTTTAATATCACAGAGGTTCTGTCACCCTGGTGGGAAAGATGGTGGAACATTCAGAGTGCCTCAGAGGAGATCCAGCAGTTCAGCTCTTACCACCTGTGATCCAGGGTGATCCAACTGGAAATGGACCCCATTTTTCTGCTGGAGAGGAGGTCAAAAGCCTTAATTTATGATGCTAAACATCACATACACTTGTGTGCAGCTGGCTGTCTTCAGCAGGCCAGCTGAATGCACTGTTTAGACTGAGGTTTCCTTTCGACTGGCAGCATGCCCTGTACCTATTTCTACGAAATAATTTTTCAAAACCAAACAGAGTTGTTCTGAAGTCCACCTCTGTCACTCTGCCACTGTACAGGGGACCTAGAAATGAAGGACAGCTATTGGACTCCTGTCTGTTGGGGAGCTGATTTATCACTGACAACTTCTCCAAGGTTGTGCCTGTGATGCTCAGAGACCTGGGTCTGTCTCTCCTGATTTTTCTCAGCCACATCAAGATTTTCATTTATGATTGTCATTCAAAAAAATTTATGGTTATAATTCAAAAGAATGTTTGGATTGTTTTTAAGTGGCAGAATCTAATACGGTGAGATATGCCAGTTGTTGTAACTATATTTTGGGAAGGGAAAAGTACATATTTGCTAGGATTTTTTCTTTTTAAGAAGTTGGAAAAGTAGGGCTTTTATTGCATATGCTGTTTGTCCAGTACTTACCAAAAGAAATTTAAACAGTAGTATTTTTGTGCTGGCTGGGAGCATCTATAGCCAACACAAAAATATCTTTTTTTGTCAATAGGGTGCACATGTAAATTACAAGAAAATAGAACTCTACCTAATCTTTAACTCAGAGATCCCTTATAGGGGTTTCATCAGAACATGCAAGTTAGAAATCCCAGTTACCAACTCTGCAGAAATAGTAGGAGGCTTTGAAATTTATCCATGGCTCTTCAGAGAAATGATTTTCTTACAAATGAGCTATCCCATGGCTGGAAGTGGACAGATGCCAATGCAGGATTTATTCTCAAGCTAAAAGCAAAGGGCAATCATCACAGCTATTCAGAAAACAGACACATAATTTGCACTCCACTGCAACAAGCAGTAATCAGCAAAAGCTGCAAGGTGGGAAGGAGAGGGACTCTGGGGTGCTCAGCTGGTGCCTGTCCCTGAAATACCATGGAAGCTATGCTGGCCTTGGCTGGCAGGTAGGCAGGACAGCCTGATCTCCTTGGCTTCTACCTTGAGATGTTTGTTCAGAGCACTTTTGGGAGGTTTGATAATGGGCTGGGCACTGTTGACCTTCTCACACCTGATTTTGGTGTGTACAGGGATAAGACAGGAAGGCGCAGTGCCCGGGGATTGGTACTTTCAGCCATGGGATCATTTTTCCTTCACCTCTGAGTCCATCTTTCACTGCAGTGTGAACCAGAAGAGTTTTGCAGTAGATCAATGGCATTCTGAAGTTCACACCAAACTTTCTGTTCTTTCTGGGAGTAATAACAATGGCTAACAATGGATTTTTCTGTGTGGGCTGCTTTCCTCTTGCAAATCTCTCCAGCATTTAAATGAAGATACAGTAGCCACTGTTCACATGTTAATCTCCTTGATGACAAAGCCACCTCTTTGTTCTGGTGTCTCTCCTAATACGAGTTATACCATAAAATTTGTATCTAGGATTTGCTTCAATCACAGTCTTACATTCCTGAGACACTGATGTAATGCAGATTATCCAGAAAGATTGGTGTGTGCCAAAGTAACTGTTCCCAAGGTGGAGTATGCTGCGTACAGCACTAAATTATCAAATAATGAAGTTCTCCTGTTGTATTTTCAAAGCTTCATCTTAACAGGCTAATTTATGGGTGAAATTACTAAAAATACTGCCTGATAGTAGCCAAATCTCATCAGTTCCCCATTTAAAGATGAACTTTAAGCTCAACCTTGCAAACCCTGGCCTTGCAGACAATTATCCTTAGACCTAACAGAGCTTTGAGAGTCCTTGACTGGGGGCCAACTCTGAGACTTTTTGTGGTCATTCTAGCTGACATTTGATAATCTTTCTGGCAATCTGCAGTTACAGTTTGCTTAATAAAATGTGCCTGGAAAACACTGGAGGTGTTTCCTGGTGCAGTTATCTCAAAGATCAGGAATCTGTGACCACAAGCCTCCCACCAGCTCTGCGGACCAGAGTGGAGTGGTGGAGGTGATCCAAATTTGTACCTGTGGCAAATTTGCATGGGTGATATCCAGTCTGTTTGCAGCAGAATTTGACCACTAACTCACCCAACATTGCTGGAGATAATGAATGAGAGTGTCCAGGTGCTCGTGGTGGGACATGCCCAAGGGTTCTGCTTCACCTCTGAGAGGACAGGTCAGATCCAAACCTCTGCGGAGCATTTGGCAGTTCTCTAACAGGAGGGTGAAGGTCAGCAGTCAGGTTTGTGGCACAGTAAGATAACACAGTGTGTTCCTTCTTATTCAGGAGCTG